CCTCCCATCCTCTCCGAGAGCACGTCAGGTGCATCTGTGTGGCACCTCTGACCTCCAAACATCGGCCGAGAGCTGAGAGGCAGAAACGAGAGAAATAAATTCAGATGTTTTAACTTGTTTGCATAAATAAAAATGTGAACATTCAGATTAAAGTTCAAATCTGATTAAAAGCCAGTTCGGAAGAAATTGATGTATCTGTGTGTTGTCCTCAGAAATGGAAGATCATGTCGTGTAAGATGAAGGTGGAGCAGCTAAAGGAGGCGGTTGCCTGGGGCAACGAGGAGGCGAGGCACGGTGAGAGTCAGCAGGTTTAAAACTGACACGGTTCGTGAGCTGTCGCGTGACCCGTTTGCCCCTCCTGCCGCAGATAATGAGCGCCTCTCCAGGTGTCAGGAGGACGTCCAGCGGCTGCAGCGCCGGGCCGTTCGCCACGGTGAGAAACGCGACAAGATCGAGCGCCACAACCGGCGCCTCGGTGAGCTGATGGAGAAACGCAGTCGAGACCTGCAGAGCCGACTGAGCCAGCTCGCCGCACTGCGGCGGGAGCACATCCGCGACCTTACCACCCACATCTTCCCCATGCAGGAGGAGAAACTGGGCAGCAGGTAGGGGGTGGAGCCTTCTGAGTTTCAGGAACCGCTCTGATGGGACTGATGGAGCAAACGTGTTGTCATCCCACTCTCTGCCCCTACGTGTATCTATTAGAGACCCCGCGGACGTCCTGGCTGAGTGCGACCCGCTGACCTCGAGCACGGTGAGCGAGCTGGCCGAGGCCCGGAGGACCACCTACCTGTCGGGACGCTGGATCTGGGACGACCAGAACGGAGAGACAAGCATCAGCATCACGGGGCCCCCTGTGGCCCTGCCCAGCAACGGAGACTGCTCCGCTTACTACAGCTGGGTGGAGGAGAAGAGCACCAATCAGGGCCCAGGTGAAGAGTGAGGAGGCGGAGCTTTAGTGGTCGTACTGATAACTGATCTCATTTTTTCCCTGAGTTCAGATTTCTTCTCAGCCAGAAGTTTGTTCTTGTATTTATCTGATGATGATGTTGTTGTTATGATGATGATGATGGATTGCATTTATATAGCGCTTTTCGAGGCCCTCAAAGCGCTTTACAATTCCACTATTCATTCACTCTCACATTCACACACTGGTGGAGGCAGCTACAGTTGTAGCCACAGCTGCCCTGGGGCAGACTGACAGAGGCGAGGCTGCCATATTGCGCCATCGGCCCCTCTGGCCAACACCAGCAGGCGGTAGGTGAAGTGTCTTGCCCAGGGACACAACGACCGAGACTGTCCGAGCCGGGGCTCGAACCGGCAACCTTCCGATTAACCTTCCGACGAACTGCCAACTCTTGAGCCACGATCGCCCAATAATAATAATAATAATAATAATAATATAAATCATGGTTATTATAACTCGTCTGTTTTTATTTTAAAATTATTTTAAAATACTTAATTTACTTGTAATTTTTTTAATAATGAGTATTTTTATGTGGGTGCTCAGAAAACTTTCATTTGAAAAGGTTTCAGGTGACCCTGTCCTGACCTTTGACCTCCTTTTGCCACAGAGCTGGACCACATTAACCCGGCTCACACCATCAGCGCCGCCCTCTGCTACACCACGCAGCTCGTCACCATCTTGTCCCACATGCTGGACGTCAACCTGCCCAAGAAGCTCTGCAACAGGTGGGAACGTTTGAAAAGTGGCGCCACTCAGCGGTAGGTCGATTTCGCCGATGTCGCGGCGTCCATCTTTAATCTTCGCTCTGTGCTGTTTGTTTTCTCAGCGAGTTCTGCGGAGACAATCTGAGCCGCTACCGCTTCACCCGAGCTCTGAGCAAGCTCAACACCAACGTGCTCCACCTGTGCTTCTCTCAGGTGAGACTCGCACGCTGTTTGTTTGTCCGTCTTCTGTGTCGAGAGGACTCTGAGACGCAGCAGGACTGATTCTGATTGATTGATCCATCTGTGTTCCCGCCTCTCACCCCCTTTCTCTGTGTTCAGCACGTTGACAGCGAGAAGCTCCACCTCCATCACACCCTGAGGAACATCGTGTTTCTGGTTGCCCCTGACAACGACAGCCTGGGCAGGTGAGGGGGTGAAGTGTTTGATTTCAGGAAAATGTGGGTGCGATCTGCTGATTGAGAGTGACGCAGTGTTTACCCGTGTGCTTCAGGACGGGTCCGTTCGAGGTGTGCGCCGACCTGGAGGAGTCCATGGAGTTCGTGGAGCCGGAGGCGGAGGGGCCGGCGGAGGAGAGCGGAGACGAAGCGGTGACGGACGACGAGACAGACCTGGGGACGGACTGGGAGACGGTGCCCAGCCCGCGGTTCTGTGATATCCCCTCACAGGTAAACACACCTGAGGCGTTTGTGCCGAGCTGCTCGATCATTTAGATCCGTAACCCTTATTATCGATCGGTTATTAACTCGGTGTGAAGGACGACTCGCGCTTAGAGCAGCAGCGGGCGGGGGCGCCTGAGGGGAGGAGTCACTTTGACCTCCATAGGTCAGACATCAGTGCAGAAGAGTTACGGGGCTCCGCCTCGTGACCTCTAACCTCTCCTCTTCCTCCTCTGTCCTCCTGCAGTCCATGGATCTTTCCCAGAGTGCCCTGCAGGTCTCGCAGCCCGCCGCCAACACCGGAGGGATGATCTCGTCTGCCGCCGCCTCAGTCAGCTCCTGGCTCAGAACCTACACCGGCCAGCGCTGACCCTGCGGAGTCCTGGGGCTTGTTTGGATCTCAGGGGTCAGAGGTCACCATCAGCGCTTCAGACTCTGCAAATAGAAACGTACTGTTTGAGGAGCTGAGAGGTCCTGCTGACGCGTCACTGCTGATTTGATTGGTTTAACTTTTTTTCTCCTACTGTGAGGTCGTATCGCGGAGCCGCTCAGTCTCTGATTGGACGAGGTTGTTGCAGTCTGGAGGGGCGGAGCTCTTTTGCAATAAATTCTCTGCAGTAAGCTCCACGCACAGGCGTGGCTCAGTCTCCAACGTGTCGGCGTCACGGTGACCTGACGTGTCCTTTGTGACCTTTAAGGTCGTGATGAGAAACTGGAAGCGCTCGCATTCAGCAGACTGCAGGATGCCACGAGGTCAACATGCGCTCTGATTGGAGGATTGTGCTCCGGCGCCGAGGCCACTCCAAGCCTGACTCATTTTTATTAAAACACTATTTTCAGTTTTTCTTGTACATTTTCAGCCTCATTCAAAAAAAAAAGTTTCTTCCTGTGGGCGGAGCGTGCATCATTGTCTCTTCTGATTGGCTCCAGTTTAGAAAATCGAGCTGCCATCACAGAGCAGCTGGAATCAAACCTAGACCGAGCCGCCTCACGCTTTTTCGCTGAGCTGGTGACTCTGAAGTGGGATTGATGATGATGGCGGTTTATGGACGAACATGTTTTATTTGAAGTGTTTCAGTTTGTGTGACGTTTGAAATAAAATCCTGTTTCTGCTTTTTGAATCTGAAGTTGAGTTTTTAATAGAGTGTGCGTGCGTTGACCTTTAACCTCAGGGTCCATGGGCCACAGGAGGTGCTGACATCCACATGCTGTACAGGCAGCTTCACCTGTGCCTGCAGGTGGATTGAAGCACAGGTGAGTGTACACCTGTAATAGCCGTGTGTGTGAGGACTCACAGCATCTCCACAGTAACCGCACGATTCACGCCACGGCGTGCTGTGTTGATAGATTTAAAGACTTCACCCGCCGATGCTGGCGGGACGTCAGCGTCTGCTGCTTGTGCTCTGCAGGTGTGAACACCTGAGCTCAGGCTGTCTGATTGGACGGCTCCAGCTGATGGGTCTGTTTATTAGGCTGTCACAGCAAGCACAAGGTGAGCATGGACAGGTGATGATTTCACACGACTGAGCAGTTCCAGTGATGTCACAGGGATCCCAGGCTGCATAGTGTTCGTGGCACAGGTCAGACCAGGCGAGCAGCACGGTTGGTGGAAAAACAAAACGGGTGGAGACGGAACAACAGGGCCGGCCCGGGGCCAACAAAGCTTGTTACAGTCAAAGTTAATGAAAATGTTTTGGGATGTGTGGTGCCGTTCATTCATCCAACAGGCATTCGTCACATCTGCAGGTTTACTTCACTGCATGCTGCTGACGCCCACCTGCAGGATCGTGAACTGTACAGAGTGACTGTAATGAGTGCAACCATCCGTTACCACGGTCCTCCTGACCCACCTGGGCTTCCTTCAGGTGTGCTTGTAGTGAAGGTTTACCTTCCCTGACGCGGAGTTTACATGTGTTCGTTTTCTTTCGTTGTGAGTGTACTAAACAGTTCTTATTTTATTTCTAGCCAGTATCAGATGAATCTGACCCCAGATCTGCTTTCTGTGTCCCTGAGAGCACCATGCAGCCTTCAGTCTCAGCAGGTGTAAGTACAAACTAAACCTTATTTAAACTACACTTTAACTGACCCCTGCTCTCTCCTTTGACTGCCTCTCTTTCATTCTCTTTTTGATGGAGAGCTCTTTTGTCTGTATTCATTTACACTCTTACTGATGTGGATGAATCCCTGAGCAGCGACAGATCAGGTTTTAACACGATTCCTGTCAGCTGCACTTTATTTTGCAAATCACACAACGTGCACACACCTGAGCTGAGCTGCGATTTTGAGTTGTAAGGGCCGCTGTCGTTTGGATGCTAGGTTAAAGTTATTCCGGTTACCCGCCCTCAGGTTCAACGTTACTCCGGTTACCTGCCCTCGGGTTCAACGTTATTCCGGTTACCCACCCTGGTACCGTTGAGTTATTATGGCTCAGTGAGCAGTTATTGCAGCTGTCAGCTGTTTTCTGACGCGCAGGAGGACGTGAGAGCGTAGCTGTTGAAACAGTGCTCGGATTCATAAAGGCTGAAGGTGAACCACAGTTCTTTTTTTCACACTTGGAATTCTTTGCATGATTATCTGGGTTGGAGCATGTGGGAAGCCGTGACTGAGAAAGGTCTGAAAAGCCTTTTTATTGTGAGGCGAATGATTACTGGATGCCAAGTGAGTGCAAGCAGCCTTTCTTCTTTGGGTAAGCTGCTTATGGAGCGCAGGGTTCAGGAGGAAGCGGGTGAAGCTGCTCTGCTTTCGCTCTTATTATTCTTGTTAATAACACCCACTTTTACAAACTGCAGTTTTGTGTTTTCTGCTTGTTTGTTTTGAATCGTGTTTGTGGGGAGACTCCACCCCCTCGTCCTTGTGCTGAAGGATTTCTGCAGGTGGAGGACAATGGCGAGAAGGTCTGCTGCTCTGTTTCTGCTGCTCTGCTGCTCTGTCAGTCGGGGCCAGTCGGAGGCTTCTGTCCCCCCGCCGGCGGTCATCTCCCAGGCCCTCCCCATCCTCTGGGATGAACTGCGAGGGCTGAAGGAGCTGGTGCTGAGCCTGAAGGCGGAGGAGGTGGGCCGGCGTCAGATCCTGAGGAGGGTGGAGAGCTGGCTGAGGGATGGAGAGGTGCTGGCCGAGCAGCAGAGACGGAGCCTGGAGGGACTGAAGGAGGAAGCGCTTCGACAGGCGGAGGAGCTGAGGGAGAGGGTGGAGGAGCTGGAGGAGCAAAGCAAAGGTGAGGCCTCCTCCGTCACATTAAGTGTCATAGCTGCTCCTCAGACTGAGAGGTGGTGCAGTGAGTTTAGCTGGTGTAGCACAGGTGAGTCCTGCTGTCCTCAGGTAGGCGAAAAACATCAAACTGTTTTGAGCCTAAACAGCAGGAACCTGTTCGTGTATTAATCACTAGAGGCTGTCGCATAACAAGAGGCAGAAGAGGCAAAGCTGGAGCTGTAGGTTGAGAGCTTCGTGTTAGAGCGGGGGGGTCGAAGTTAATAAAGCTTACAAAGGATTCTTGAGAACATTTAACACGTTACTTGATAAAAACTGTCCAGTAATTGAAATCAACAGGAAAACAACTATGCAGGAAGACCACGGAGGACTACAAAATACCAGCAAAAAAAGAATCCCCTATATCGAGCATTGATAAAAAAGAGAACCATGGAAACTGAAAGGAAGTAAAAACTTACAAAAATAAATGAACTAATATAATGAGATCCTGTAAAACAGAGTATTTCATTAAAAGGTTGGAACACAATAAAGATAACACAAGAGATATCTGGAACGTATTAAACAGTGTAATCAAAGATGGATCAGGGAATAACGATGGGTACTTTATAGAGGGACAAGAAGTATTAATAACATGGAAGAGATAGTAAATGGCTTTAATGAATTCTTCGTAAACATAGGTCCAAAACTGGCAGAAGAAATAAAGGTTGATGGGACACTGGTGAAAATACTGAAAGCAATAGAAGCTCAATGTTTTTAAGCGCAGTGGAAGAGAAAGAGATTCATGACATAGAGAACAAAACCAGTACAGACTGGACTGATATTGATATGGTAACAGTAAAGATTGATGGTGTTGTAAAACCATTAAAATATATGTTCAACTTGTCGTTTCAAACAGCGGTTTTGCTAAAGTTATTCCCATTTACAAAACTGGTGAAAGGCATCACTTTACAAACTATAGACCAGTGTCAATACTCTCCCAGTTCTCTAAGATACTGGAAAACTCTTCATAAAAAGATTTGGCAGTTTTGTGGAAAAACATGAATTAATGACAGATGGTGAGTATGGGTTCAGATCAACAGGTCAACAGCTTTGGCACTGATAGATTTAATGGAAGAGATGACAGAACGTGTGGATAATAAGAGGTACGCACTCGTTTTCTTAGATCTAAAGAAGGCGTTTGATGCTGTTAATCATGAAATTCTAATAACAAACTGGAAAAGTACGGGTTTAGGGGAGTGGTTTTGGACTGGGTAAAAATCCATGTAGAGAATAGGCAACAATATGTACAAATAAATGAATATAAATCTAATTTGATGGATATAGCTTGTGGAGTACCTCAAGGTTCAGTACTGGGTCCAAAAATGTTTATTATGTACTTAAATGATATCTGCAGAGTATCGGAGATGTTAAAGTTAGTATATTTGTGTCATCTGCAAATATTACAGTGTTCAGGTGTGGAATTGCCACAGGTTTTGGAGATGATCACACAGGAATTAACGATATTAAAGAAGTGGTTTGATATAAATAAATTATCATTGAATCTCGATAAAACCAGATTTATGTTGTTTGGAAACCAAAAGAAAAACATCAGTGTAGAAATATGTGTTGACAATGTATGTTTAGAAAGAGTCAATGAAATAAAATATCTTGGGGTGATCATTGACCACGAGCTGGAAGCCACACAGCACTGATGTTCGGGGGAAACTGGCACGGGGCCGTCGTGGGGAAAGCAAAGCACATGTTGGATCAGAACATATGTTATACTGTGCTTTACTACTGCCATATATGAGCTACTGTGTCGAGGTCTGGGTAAACATACAAAAGTAACACACTAACAATAACTATAATACAGAAAAGGGCCATTAGATTAATAATAATGTGGGTACAGGGACCATACAAATGCACTCTTTGTCAAAATGCAAGCTTTTAAATTCCAAGAATTGGTGAAGCTTAAAACAGCGCAAATAATGTATAAAGTAAGAAATAAATTGCTTCCAAAAGAAATCTGTAAATGGTTCATAGAAAGAGACGGTGGGTATAACTTAAGAGGGAAGTGGAATTTAAAAATACAAAGTGCTAGAACGACTTTAAAAACGATGTCTATCTCAATTGCAGGAGTTAAATTATGGAACAGTCTAACTGAAGAAATAAAAGAAAGTAAAAACATAAAACAGTTTAAAATATAAAAACCTAATTTTAAATGAGTACAAGAATGAAGAAAACGGGGTTAACCCAGGACGGTGCTGTTGCTGGTAATGGTGGTGTTGTTCTTTTTGTTTGTTTGTTTTTCCATAACTTGTGAATCTGCAAATTTACACATTCTGTCTTTTTCATATGAAAGAAACTGTACTGTGGTGGGGCTTGCTTATTTCTTGTTTTGATTTCTGCATGCTTGGTTTGTTTTGCTTTACTTTTGTTTCATATGTTGTTTGTTTAATTTAAGACTAAAAGAAAATTAAATGAATGAGAGGTCAAACCTGAGGGGGTGGGGACAAATAAGTAAAAAACAAAAGCGCCATAAAACAAGAAGAATGGTGCCTAATGACAGAGTTAATAATACAGACTTTGTAATGTGTCACGTGAAGATTCAGCAGCCAGATGAAGTGTTTACTGGCAACTGACAGTGATAGCGGACATTATCATCACTATTCCAACAATCCTTTCCACACAGACAAGCATAAACACACTCGACTATCACTAAATCAAATTTAACACACGTTTGTAATGACGCCAATTCAGTTTACAATAGGGTTCATTCACTCGGTCAGCAGGGGGCAGTATCCTCGTACACTGGGGAGTACACTGCCATTAAACGAACAGAAGAAGAAGAAAACCCCTGCACATGCGCGGTACGGATCGGGAGTTCTGATCTGTCGCTATCTTTTTATTTGTTTTTGTCTACATTATATTAAATGTTTCATTATCGGAAACATTTTAAGAGATACTTGTTATTCTTAACATCTTAACAGATACTCTGACCCGTAACTATCGTAAAATGCTTCGACTGGAAGTAGACACCTTTCGCGCATGCGGGGTACCGATCAGGTTTCCGGTACGGATCGGGTAGTGACAAGCAGAACCGAGTTGTATGTGTGGAGGGACTAGGGATGGGTACCGGTATCCGGTGCCATGACGGCACCGGTTCTGACATAAACGGTAGTAACCAGACCGAAAAGCAGCGCACATTTCGGTGCTTTATTTTCCTGAGCTGTGACACAATCATTTTACGTTTCCGAGGATAGTAGGCGGGTCCAGGTACGTACGTTCTTTTAGAGCAGAGCTACAGATTAAAAATGCCCAAGGCGAAGCGGTCAAAAGTCTGGCTGTACTTCACAGCAAAAGATGCAAACTCAGCAGCAACAAGTGCTTTAAGGTGATACTGTGCAAAGGAGGTAACACCTTGAATCCGATGAAACACCTGGCGACGCATAGCGTTTTTTTTTAAAAGCCGAAAAATGCGCCGTATTTGATAGCTTGCTGCGAGACCTCACACCGAGCACATCTACTGCGGTTGGGTTGCCTGTTAACGGACCCGGAGCTAGCAACATCCCCCAAAAACCAGAAGAGGAGAGTCCTGGCCCCTAGCCCTGTCAGTGTAGCAGAAATGATGAGGATGACGATGGCAGCAGCAGCCGTTCTTCTCTGCGGGAGTAGCTTAATGTTGTTCGTGTGTAATTTATGTTGCGTAGGCTAACCACGTTGTTGGGGCGACCGTGGCTCAGGGGGTTGGGAAGCGTATCTGTAACTGGAAGGTCGCCGGTTCGATCCCCGGGCTCTCTGTCCTGGTCGTTGTGTCCTTGGGCAAGACACTTTACCCTACCGCCTACTGGTGTTGGCCAGAGGGACCGATGGCGTGATATGGCAGCCTCGCTTCTGTCAGTCTGCCCCAGGGCAGCTGTGGCTACAACCGTAGCTGCCTCCACCAGTGTGTGAATGCGAGAGTGAATGAATAGTGGCATTGTAAAGCGCTTTGGGTGCCTTGAAAAGCGCTATGTAAATCCAATCCATTATTATTAAATTAATGCATGTAAGGTGAACTAGCAAACATCATCATAGCTACATGCAGCTGTCTTCTTGTTTGATGGCAGATACTCCCTTCACCCTGGCCAAAAAGGCTAAAATGACCAAAGAAAAAGTGGAAAACAGTTAAACATGAGAGGATTTTGGACAAAGTTTGTGTGTTTTTTCCATTGTTTAAGCACTGCTTCCAGCCAAGAGTGATGCCATATATGCCCCACAGCTGCAGAAAAGGCTAACATTGTTATCTTTTTACAAAAAACAGCTGAACATGAGAGGTTTTTGGACCAATTTTGTGTCCTCCATTCTTTGAGCACCGTTTGAGCACCGGCACAGTTTCAAAAGTACCAGTTTGGCACCGGTATCGGATAAAACCTAAACGATACCCATCCCTAGGAGGGACAGTAACTGTGTGTGTGTATATGTAAGCATTTAACCCTTTAAGAACTACCATAGAACCAAGTCCGCCAGAGCTTATATTATATTTTTACATGCTGTGGAGCCATTTTTGGGAGCATTTCAAGTTGCTATACATCAATACAACCATTATAGCCCAGATTTTAATAATATGTATTCATTAAGTGCATAGTAATTACATAAATTGCAAAAAAGTGCAATAAACTACAAAAAAATTGAAAATCGTTTTTGATTTTTTAACATATATGGATCCAGGACCGAACCTGGCCTGGGTTCGGTCCTGGATCAGATTCTTCGGCCTCTAAGTCCGAGGTGGTTCTGATGTCCTGTGTCGTCCCTCAGCTCGAGCCGCCGACGTGTCGACACTTCAGTCCAGGCTGAACAGCAGCGAGCGCTCGACGGACGACCTGAAGAAGAAGAATTCGGGTGAGTCTCGGACCCTCGTCGTCACCTGAGCAGCGGCTCGCAGGTTTGTGGACCTTACACTGGGTTACTGCTGTGTCTGCAGCTCTGGCGGCGGAGCTGCCGTTCCTGCAGACGAGACTGAGGGCGAGCGAGAGCACCGTGGAGCAGCTGAGGAGGAAGAACGCAGGTCATCATCATCATCAAGCACTCACTGTTTGGTGACTTAGTTCTAATTTCATAGATTAACCAACTTTTCTTTGAAGCAGGAAGTCCCACTGACGGTATTTAAAGATGGACATAAAGGGTGTACATCTTTTATATACAGTCTGTGGCTGTGAGCCAGACTTATGATGAAAAACAGGAAGTTGTGTTTCTACTGACTGGTGACGCTGTGTGGCCACTGGGGGGCGCTGCTCACACTGACATTCAGTTGTACTTCCTCAGAAAAATTTCAGACTAAAAGTCTCCACCATTTTATTTTGTCAAGCAGTTGTGTGTAAACTTCCTGTGTGTGTTTGCTCGTTTTCAGTGTTGGCGGCCAGACTGTGTAACACCGAGAGTCTGATGGAGGAGCTGAGGCAGCAGATCTCAGGTCAGATTCGCTTCCTGTCCTGCTGACTCGAGGGTCGGCTTAAAAAATCACCTTTAAAAAGCTCCCGATAAAGCTCTGATAAAGACAAACTAGAATGCTCCAACTACAGGCCAATAAGTGTATTAAATGTAGATTACAAATTGTTTACGTCAATCATAGCACGGAGACTTGAAGGGATCATCCCAAGGATAATAAACCTAGATCAAACTGGATTTGTTAGGTCGCGCCAAACCCATGATAGTGTTAAGAGAACTCTGCAAATTATTAGACATATTAATTTAAATAAAATACCAGCTATATTATTGAGTCTAGTTGCTGAAAAAGCTTTCGACTCCTTGAGATGGGAATTTTTATTCCAAGCAATGCTTAGATTTGGGTTTAATGGGTCCATCATCACTATATTGAGGGCCTTGTATAATAGCCCAGCTGCAAAAATAAAGATTAATGGTGAACTTTCAGATGCTTTTAAGCTTGAAAGGTCCACAAGACAGGGATGCCCACTGAGTCCACTCTTATTTGCTATTTTTATAGAGCCATTGGCTCAAAGGATTAGGCAGAATGGTAACGTAAAAGGGATTAATATCGCTGGAAGTGAGCAGAAATTGGCCTTCAAAACCTACCGAATCACTTATGGAGCTCATGTCAGTGTTAAAGGAGTATGGGCTATACTTGGGATATAAATTGAATATACAAAAAACACAAGTTCTTAGTAGCTTTTATAGCCCCCCCCCCCCCCCCCCAAATCTGCTCAACAAATACAAACTAAGCTGGGACAAAAGAACTATCAAATATCTGGGCATAAATTTATCAATGGATATAACCAGTTTGGAAGAAATCAACTACTCCCTACTTAAAAAAGATATCATGCTAGATATTAGCAGATGGTCATTAATCCCTTATCTAAGCATCTCTTCTAGAGTGGACATCATAAAAATGAATATGCTCCCAAAGATATTAAACTTATTCCAGTCTGTTTCTATAGAAAACCCTGATAGATACTTTGTAGAGTGGGATAGGACCCTCTCAAGATTTATATGGGCAAGGCAAGGCAAATTTATTTGTATAGCACAATTCAACAACAAGGTGATTCAAAGTGCTTTACAGAGACATTAGAAACAAAAACAAATAAAAAGTATGATTTAAAATTGATTAAAACAAGCAAACAAACTAACTAACTAAACACACACATTTCACACCTGTTCGCGCGATCTGAACCCTTATCGTAAGGGGAGCTACCAGTCCTTCTGTGGACGAGCTACTTTCTATTTTAAATTCCCTGAATTTAAAATACTCTCTAGACCCAGCTGGGGAGCTACCCAGAGCTCTAACCCACTTAACAAACAAGCAAACAAACAAAACAGTATGTAAAATCAAAATAGATAAAATCAGAACAGTAGATAGTTAATGTAAGTTTTGAAATTTAAGCTTAACTAATTAACAAACAAACAAAACAGTATATAAAATCAAAACAGATAAAATCAGGGTAAAAAGCCAAGAGTTAAGTTCAAAACACTTCAGCTTCCCAAAGATAAAGGAGGATTAGGCTTCCCTTGCCTACAGGACTACTACAGGGCAACACAAATAAGAAATCTGGTGGGCTGGTGTAAACCTGGATACTGTTCAAGATGGAAGGAAGTGGAATTGTCCTTGGGAGGTAATTTTCCTGTCGGGGCACTGATAGGAGATCCTTCAGAGTTACGACTCCTGGGAGACCCGGGCAACCCTTGGATAGTAAGTTCAATAAAAATATGGGAAAGAGTACTTAAAAAGTACCAATTAAACCAGAGGGCCGGATTCCTTAAATGGTTTGCATATGACCCAGAATTTTTGCCTAGCAAGATCGACTCGACATTCAAAACATGGGCAAATAAAGGTCTCACCACATACAGTACCTTGTTGAAAAATGGAAAAGTGATGAGTTTCCAAGACCTTAAGAAAAAATTCGGGTTGCAAAATCAAGATCTTTATTTAGATATTTGCAACTGAGGGACTTCCTGAATAAAAAGCTAAAAAATTCTCAGTTATCGACTGGGAATGAAGAGATTATAAATATATTCGAGAATGCATATAGAGATGCACCCTATCAAAAAATTATTTCCAAATTATATTGTTCACTGATCAATCTATGGGGTCATGATACAAGATATGTTAAAGGAAGATGGGAAACGGAGAGCAATCTATTCCTAACAGGAGCAGTGGTCAGTAACAAGCTCCCCCTCGTGGAGGGAATTCAGCTGGAAGAATGTATTTCGTTATTTTATTACCCCAGCCCAAAAATCTCAGAATACAACATGCTGGAGGCATTGTGGACATGCAACATCAAATCATTTCCACATTTTTTGGGAAGGTCCCCGTGTGGTTCCATTTTGGAAGGAAATACATAAGGACAAGGTCATGGAAACAATCTTCCAAAAGAAAATACAATTTCATTTTGCATTGCAACCTAGAGAGTCTTAATCTATGCAAACCGGATAAGTATTTGTTCAGTGTGCTGTCGGTAGCTTGCAAAAAGGCCATAACTCGCCTTTGGATTAAAGAGGATATTCCTACCATAGATGGATGGATTGATGTGATATATAATATTTTTGTTATAGAAAGACTAACTTTTAGGCTAAAGTGCCAGGCGGACTCATTTGAAGAATATTGGTTGAAATGGTTGAAATATGTACAAAATGGGAGGTCCGATTTTGTATAATGTCATTGTATTTCTTGGTTTGTTTGTTTGTTCTTGTGTTTTGTTTGGTCTTGTTTTGGTCCGTTTGTCTCTTCTGTTGTTGTTCGCTTTGGTTTTGCTTTCCCCCTCACGGTGATTAAATTGAATTTGTTGTACATGTTGTATAAATAAGAAAACTAATCAAACATAAATTTAAAAAAATTAATAAAAAGCTCCCGTCTGAGATTTTTAAAGGTGATTTTTATAATTGACGCTGAATGTTTAAACCATCACCACCGGGGGCGCTATTGTTTTCCGACTAAAATTTCATTTTGTCCCCGCCCACCTGAGCGTTTAATGTTGCATGTCGACACTTTGCAGAGTTTCCGGCCTCCAACGCCTCGTCTCTGACGCCTGACATGTTGGAGCTGGAGGCTCGACTGGGCGCCCGTCTGGAGGAGCTGAGCGCTGACGCTGAAGGTGAGTCAGCTGATCAGCTGTTCATGTGCAGAGTGACGCTGCCGGGTGGGCGTGTTGTTTGCAGCTCTGCGGGGTGGACTGAAGTCGCTGCAGCAGCTCAGCTCCTCACCAGGTGCAGCATCCGTTCGTCCTGCAGGGAATGATTTCACATCAGAGTTCAGAGAGATTTCATTTCATTCAACTTTATTGATCCCGAAGGAAACCGGGTTAAGGTGTCGGCGTTCCAGCGCCACCTTACCCTTCAGACCGTACATTATGCAAACATCACATAAAGAAGACCGGTCAGAGAGGAAGAATGATGGAAATACACAATATGAGGAAAGACGAGGAGAAAAACGAACTCAGACTGAGCTCCTGAAGGGAGAACAGGAAAAACTCCTCAATTGTTGTTCTAGTTTCAGCCTCGGAGCTTCCAGCTGGTGGAGGAAGCTCGTGATTGTTTGGGTTTAGGGGAACAACTGCATGTCCATCACTGGTCCCAATTCAGTGTTATTCACACAGCGCAGAATCACAACAACGGTCGCCTCACTTTTGTTTCCCACTGTGCAAGAATTTGCAGGCTAGTTTAGGACACATTATTTCACAGTGAACCTCTCTATCAAACTTTGCTGCCACACCGCCCCCCCCCCCCGGCCTGTGCTTCGAGGTTTCTGGTAGTTAGAATGACTCGGGGGTGTTGATTCATTTAAACTAACATAATCATCCTGCTGCAACCAGGTTTCTGTAAGGCAGAGTAAATCAATTTGTTGATCAATTATTAAGTCATGTACTAACAGAGACTTGGAGGAGAGAGACCTAATATTTAATCATCCACATTTCACTGTTTTACTCTTTGGTTCAGATGTGGATACTGTATTGTTCTTTCTTTGTGTTTATGTTTAAGTTGTTTGTTGCTGGTTTTTAGTTTGTTTTTCGTCTGTTTGGGAGCTGACACAGTCTCTATGGTATGGAAGCCCGTTTCCGCCACTGAATAAAAAAACAAAAACAAAAACAGCTAGTATCCATAACTCAAAATTTCGAGTTACTTTTCTCAAAATTTCGAGTTAGCTCTCCCAATCAAAAATATACGTGAATGAGGTCGCTTTCTTGTTACCCGGAAGCATATGGTGCAGAGGAACGCGCTCTCAAAAACGGATCCCAACAAATTGGCGCTTTCGCGAGTACGTTTGCTGATAGTAACACCATGTGATTCAGCTAATAACACAGGGATTTCATCATTTGTGAAGCCAGGCTGAAAACACTCAGCAATCTGTGCATTCACGACTGGATGTAATACCGGTAGCTTAGCTGTAGCATTTGTAGCTGAGGGCTTCAGCTTCCAGGTAACAAGGAAATGACATCATTCACGTAGATTACTGATTGGCAGTGCTAACTCGAAATTTCGATTTATTAACTCAAAATTTTGAGAAAAGCAACTCGAAATTTTGAGTTATGGATCTTTTTTTTTTTTAAGTGGCGGAAACGGGCTTCCATACTATGGAGATGGGTTTTGGGGGTTAGCAGGAGGAGAGAAGCTGCAGAGAGGCGTGTAAGACTGCAACTCTGCTTCCTGGTCCCAACTCTGGATAGTCATATTTTGGGGGGTTTGGTGTTGTTTTTGGGTCATTTTTGTCCTCTAAAGAAATCTTTTGCTATCAAAAATGTGTTTTTTATTCATCAAATGGTCTGAAAATAACAGACGTTATTCATTACTATGCTATGCATGATTGGAATAAGTTTTAAGTAATTTGATTTATTTATGGGATTTTTATTGGATTTTATAACATTGGTGGTCCTCGTAGGACAAAAATGACCCCAAAGTACAAAGTGTTGCAAAGAGCCGTATTTTCACAACATACTGCTTTCATACATCTTTGATCTTGGATCACTGATGTGTGGGGTCAAGCACTGGTCATAACCACAACAACAACAACAGGCAGCACAATGAGGAGGCAGGTGCTCTATATTCAATGAAATTTTATTTATACAGCACCGAATCACAACAACAGCCGCATCAAAGTGCTTCATATTGTAAGGTAGACTCTACAATAATACATACACAGAAAGTATGCTCACAAGCCTCCATTGCACTGGAGATTTGCATACTTTGATGAGCATACTTTTTTTTACCATGTTGTGCAAAGCAATGACCAGTAGGACAAAGCACATATTGTCCTCTAGTATAATGAGGAGGGAGAATCAATGTTCAGGAAGATCCAGGGTTAGAAGATATAGAAAATATTGTCAATATTTAGAGCACATGCTACCCTTTCTCTGAAAAAGCACATCAGCCACCTGCAGAAGTGGAAGAAGGCTATGAAGTGAAGAAAAGTGATGAAGAATCTGAACTATGTTCAAGTAGGTTCTCAGGCATCCAGGACATGGTAGTCTGAGGAGCTTGGAGAGAAAGTGACTGGGCTTCTTGAAGTTTCTTGAATTTTCAGAATGTGAAACTGTAATAGAAGATGTGTCAGAGGACTACACATCATCCATTTCAATTATGATGAAGATCAAGCAGGAAAGAGGAGTCAGCTGAGACAGAGGAATATTTGCAGTAACGTGAGGAAACACTGATCTGGTCTTCTAACCTTCCCAGTGACAGACGATGCCTGACTCTCTCATGTGCCTCAGAGAAAGATGATCTACCACAGTCCAAGCACATGTGCCAGGTCCCATACTCCTTCAGTGGCTTTTCTACTCGAGTACTGAAAGCATTATACACAGTGTATTCTGCTTTTTAACGTTCACATGCCAATGGATGCATCAGAGACCAAGTTGGGGTTCAGTAACTTGCCCAAGGACACCTTGGTAAGAACTCCAGACTAGAGCACACAGAGATTGAACCAATAACCATCCAATTAGCAGATGACCTGCTCTACAGCCAACTCAATGATGAACAAGGAGGGACAACAAGAGAGGAAGAAAAATGGACCGAATGCAGCTGTAGGCATATGTGGGTGTGTTGATTCTTACTGCCGTGCATCCAGTAGAGTCGCTACGGCCAGTTTATGACATCCTGAGTCTGGTAGAGAAGTTTTCATGCTGACACAAGATTAATCATAGAAGCACAAAAAGGACATAATTTCTTGATAAAGACACAATAGATGATCGTCGTTCATGACACAAACGTGCTCCCATTTGAGGTGTATGATGTGTGTTGGTGTTGACTTGACTTGAAACACAAGTGGGTGTTTCTCCTGCTGTGATGTAAGATCCTGGTACTGATGTGACTGTATGAGCACCAAGTCCCCTTCAGAGGACTCTGTCCAACAGAACATCCAAGTAAACCAGGGAGCTATGAGACAAAAACATGAGCAGCATGTGATGCAGGTCCAGCTGTACATGGAACATGCTCGTGTACGATGGCAAACCGTCTGTCCTGCAGTCAGGACACGCGAGTTGTCCCTAACATTGCAGGTTTCCAAAAGAAAACAATCACCAGTAACAGCTTGTTTACTGTATATGCCCCTTGGCCTGCAACTGCAGAAAGAAAGCTGTCCATGATGGGACCAGTGCAGAGGAATGAACCTGAGCTTCCTCCTGCACTTGGGTCAAATATGGACACGCCTTTGTCCTCATGAAAGTTTGCCTTCACTCAGACTCATGCCCTGGTGTTCCTACCATGCCAAAATATAGAAAACTGTCAGGCAATGAGTTGGAATAAAGTTGAATAAAACCTTGAAACACAGAGATGGATGATATTTTATACTTGTTGCTTTTATAAACAGTCAAAGCAAACGGGGTCATTTTTGAGCCCAGAGGACAACAGATGTGATTATTTGCTGCCAGTAAAAAACTTGAAGTAGTTTAAAAACAGCTTTCTAAATTAACTTTGACATAAACCCGTCTGTGATCATCTGTTAAAGCAACCGACTCTGGTTGTGAAACAATAATCACAATAACTGATGATTTAATTTATTTTTTACCCAAAAACAAAGAAAAAATTCATTTTTATGAGGTTTTTTTATCAGATTTAAATTTGAAATGGAATAAAAAAAAATGTGTCAAAATGTTTGAATTAAGTTTTAATAAAAAGTAGGGGAAAATCCACTTCATATTAATTAAGTATCAATCAAAGCAGATGGGGACATTTTTGACCCCTGAGGACCACAGGTGTGTGGAAATCGGGAGGACATTATGAGGGTTAATAAATGTGTCCAAAGTGGGATGGAGCAGCTCTCATAATCCTATCAATTCTAGCTCTCCCGTTGCAGAGTTGTGAGCTTCTCCATGATTTTATCCAGACTGTGTTCAGTTAACAGTGTGAGTGCTCGTGGGATTTTGAGCAGCTGTAACAGGTTTTCATTATTCGTCGATACGCCAGGGCCGAGCAGCTCCAATCAGCAGGAAGCCCGTTATCACAGCCCAGAACAGGTCGATGTCTTCAATGTCCTCCTCTGAGAGTGTTGGCAGACACACGATGCGCCGGTGTCGTGCCAATCCGGCAGCGCACGTTCCTGCAGGAGGATCAGGCTCCCAGCACCCAGGTTTCTCATCGAGAGGGTGTTAGTAGTGTTTAGAGACCAGCTGATCAAATCCATAATTCCTTGTTATTCTTAGAGAACACGCGGAGAGCGTCTCCGAGATGAGACGAAGATAAGGGAGAGGAGACCGGAGAAGATGCGACTGCCTCCGCCGAGAGCCAGGAGAGAAGATTAGAAAAACAAAATTAAGTTAATTCTCACCGTTGTGTGCATGAAACTGAGACGGAAGTACGCCGTGAGATTTATAGTCTGATGCAGCAAGACGCACAGAGAAACGAGCGCCAGCGTGTTTATGTTACTGCGAGGAAGCAAACACGTTCACGGAGAGCATCTCTGCGAGTGCTCGTGTCCGTAGATTACTGTTGAAGCCGTTCGTCATCAAACATGTTTCACCGACCCTCCATCGCTTTTGTTCTCACATTTCAGTGGAGTCGGCGGAGGTTTCGGCGCTCGGCAGCAGGCTGAGTGAGGCTGAACGCCGCTTGGATGAGCTGCACACACAAACCTCAGGTGAGTCAGTCCACAGGTGTGAGTTACCTGCAGCAGCTGCAGCTGACCTCAGAGCTCACCTTTCCAGATGTTCACCAACCTGTTTGTTTCATCGGTGTTGGCTGGATCCAGATGTTGTGTCCAATGATCAGATCTGTCTGCTGTAACACGATAAACTGCGTCCGTGTCGACTGGAGAGCGTGTCCCTCAGACAGCTGCTGAAGACGTGTGAAGGACGCGCTCCAGTCCTGTGTTCATAAACGAGCTCTGATCCAGTAAAGGTGAAGAGTTTCTGCATAACTGGGATCGTCTCCTCCCCTCTCAGCTGTCACAGCCTCGTGGGAAGAAAACCTGTCGGCTGTGAAGAGTCAGGTGCAGCAGCTGGAGCTGACCGGCACAGGCAAGTCAGGTGATCTGAGGGTGCAACATGTGACAGCATGCAGCTGCTCTCAGTTTACCTGTGATGTGTTTCCTGTGCTGTTTCCAGCTCAGACCGACTCAGTGAAGCAGCTGCAGCTTAAACTAAACTCCACAGAGCATCAGATCCACGAGCTGCAGACTGAAACATCAGGTAAGTGAATGAAATCTCCGGTGAAAGGAAGCGTATGTGTGTGAGGGCCCTTTGTTTGTCTACTGTTCACGTTTCAGATCAAAGCTCCAAACTGACGAAGCTGCAGACAAACGTGAGCGCGAGCGCGAGCCTGCAGGGCAACCTGAACACAGGTACAGCTGTCAGAGAGCACGCAGTGAGAATCGCTCTGAGCACGCTCACAGCTGCTGTTTCTGTTTAGAGATGTTCACCAGGCTGAGAGACAAACAGCTGGAACAGCTGCTGTCTGAGCACACAGGTAACACACTCTGACTTTGACTTCATCCTGAACCGAGCTGGTTCTCAGAGGAACTCTTCATGGCTCCGTCACACTACAGTAAAAAAGGCGGAACTCTTTTGTGTCTGGGAACATTTGGTGCTGCCCACGTCGCATTCACTAAGTGGCTGTAAACTGGTCAGCCTGAGGTCGAGTGCTCTGCCTCGGTGCGAGCACTTTGCCTCACAAGGTGACTGCACAGGGCGGAGCCAGCAACCGTGATTTGACTGACACAGTCATCATCACACTGGTGAAGGTTATTTCCAGTTCATCTCAGTCTGCTGAATATTGCAACTCTTAGCGCTTCTTGATGCACCAAGATGGCAGCTGACTGCGAGCGGTCGCATATTTGAAGCATTTCAAAGGAAACGAGATCCCAAGTTCATCTCACATGGCCGCAGTACGGCAAACACAGTTTCCTGCCTGGTCTGGTGATATCGTCTTATTCATATTCATCCAACATCTGACTTTGTGTACGAAAACTGTAGTTTATCCTCACATTTAGATTTAGCTGTTCGAACTTCACTGTAGGATTTGTGTTTGCATAGATAAAGCGTGTGTGCGCGCCTGCGTGCGTGCGTCAGCATGATCTGGTGAAAGCTGCGTGGCCTGACCATGTTTCACTCTGTTACCTGCTGGGGTGCAGAAGGACGAAGCATCCTCCTGGAACAGTAAAGTCTGCCCAGAAACAGCCCGGCTGGGCGCTGTAACTGAAAAGATACAGAGAGTTTGTGCGATGCTATTAAAGGGACGCTGCAACGCTCAGAGTGTACTTCAGACACACACTCGGACACACACACTGGTTCAACACAAACTCAGCAACGTAGCTGTGCGGAGCTCAGACCTACACTGGCACCACCAAACAGCCACAACATAGAAGAGCCACCTCCACGGGACAAGACATGGCAGTCCATCTGCATCTAAAGGTCAAAGGTCACTCTTTCGAGGATGCCAATGTTCACATGTTGGACAGAGAAGACAGACGGTTTGAAAGAGGAGTGAAAGAAGCATCTGTGTTCACTGTGAACAACAGTCTTTGAACGCAGGGCGGGGCTTACGACACCATCTGTCTGCCATCTATAATCCAGTCTGAGATCCTTCCCAGACGCCTTAACGCCCACTCACATCCTCACCTCAGGAAATCACATGATAGGGTGGGGCCAGGTCTCATCCTGGCTGATTGGGACCCACACCTGTTTTCACACCTTGGTTTGTGTGATTAGGTAGAGGATCAATAGTTGGTCCACGACCCTCTCAGGGACTCTCCACCATTTGACCCTAGGACTGAAGAAGCTTTTTGGAAGTCCAGACGCTTCTGTTTCAGAGCTGCCTCGATCACACTGATCAACAACGATTTTGAACAAGTTGCTATTTGGATCAGTTTAGTTTAATGGGATACTTTAGTCATGTGTGCCCACCTTTGATTGTAAACCTTCATACAGCCAGAGCAGAGAGAAACATTCAGTCATGTAAGGATCTAACAAGGTTCCCTGAAGAACCATCAACCGTGTTTACTTTACTTTGCAGAGATTATGAACCAACTGAGAGATGGTGAAAAACGGCTGGAACAGCTGAAGGCTGAGCACACAGGTAACACACGAAGCTTTCAGACTGGCATGTTGTACAAATGCTCATGCGATACATGAACGTTACATCCACACAAACAGAGTGAAGTGTTGCAACTTTATGTAGCAAACACTGAACTTTGAAGCTGAAACTGAAGAAAATTTTAATGCTTCCCTGGAAGCTTCAACAGTTTCAGTAATGAATAAATAAGATTTATTTTGAAAATCCTCTGATTTACCGTCGGTGTAAACAGTGAGTTTGGACGCTGACAGAATGATGAGATAAAACAAACGGCTCCTCCTCCCAGTGCTTTGATTGGTCGACACTGACAAAAATGATTGTGTGGTGTTGACGATTCAGACTGAGATGAAAACTGAGCATGTTGATCACTCTGTGGACACGTACGTGCTGGTGATTGTTGCAGCATCTGTCTCCGTTTCAGTTTAACAACATTCAGGCCAGACACACTCAGGATCATCTCCCAGGACAGAGATCGGAGTGTCGTCTGCGTCTAAACAGAGACTAACCTGTCATCCACACTCGATGTGTCGCTGTCAGACCTGTGATGTGTTTCCTGTGCTGTTTCCAGCTCAGACCGACTCAGTGAAGCAGCTGCAGCTTAAACTAAACTCCACAGAGCATCAGATCCACGAGCTGCAGACTGAAACATCAGGTAAGTGAATGAAATCTCCGGTGAAAGGAAGCGTATGTGTGTGAGGGCCCTTTGTTTGTCTACTGTTCACGTTTCAGATCAAAGCTCCAAACTGACGAAGCTGCAGACAAACGTGAGCGCGAGCGCAAGCCTGCAGGGCAACCTGAACACAGGTACAGCTGTCAGAGAGCACGCAGTGAGAATCGCTCTGAGCACGCTCACAGCTGCTGTTTCTGTTTAGAGATGTTCACCAGGCTGAGACGTGGAGACAAACAGCTGGAGCAGCTGCTGTCTGAGCACACAGGTAACACACGAAGGTTAACGTCACACCTTTGTACCAACTGTAGACATTTTAAAGCAAAGCGGAAACTGAGAACCTGTTTAGAAATTCTGTGTGAACGATGACAAAGTGGTTTGTTGTGCAGCCGTGGATGTCAGATTGAGATCCTCTGAGACACAGCTGGAACAGCTGGACACTCGTGCTGCAGGTACCGTCATCAGCTCCTACCTGAGGTTTCAAGAGTCGCTCATTAAAGCTCTCAGTCAGACATGAAGTGACACTGAGGTGACGCGTAGCACCCTACACACCACTGTTTATTGTTGCTGTTGCTCAGCTTGCAGAGCAGATGTTTACAGCTGAAGACGCAGATGAAGGTCGGGGTCTCATTTGTTCTGCAGGTCATTAAAATAAAAACTGTTTTCAGGCCGTGACATCGAGCTGTTGGCCACGAAGCTCAGACTGAACGTCACCAAGCGGCAGGTGGACGAGCTGACGACACAAAACACAGGTGACCTCTGTTACGTTGCCGGACTGTCGGGAGGTCTGATGGCGTTTATCCGAGTTCACAGTGTCACGCTCTGTTTTCAGTGCGAGCCGCTGAGCTGGAGTCTGTTTCGGACCGACTGACGGCGGCACAGAGACGCGCTGATGGTAACGAACGACCTCGAAGCTTTCTGCGTCCGATTAACTTGAATCACATCTGAATGTTTTCTCTCAGAGCTGCAGGTCAGGCTGAACCAGCTGAGCGCCTCGTCCGAGGAAGCAGGTCAGCCACGCCTGCGGCACTTTAAATGTCCTCACCAGCCAGCTGTGGGTTAAACATCACATCTGTCTCTTCTAGGTGAGCTCAGGGTGGCGTTTTCAGCCGGTCTGACCGATTCAGGGTCAGTGGGACCGTTTGATGAAGAAACAACTCTGATCTTCTCCAAAATCATCACCAACATTGGCGAAGCCTACAACCAGACAGCAGGTAGAGCGTGCCGCCCACATGACGCTGAAATATTCAGCTCCACGTAACATATGTTTGACTGCAGAATTATATTAATATTGTCAAAGGTGGAGGGGGTGGAGCTCCTCCCTGAGGTGCTTGTCTGATTAACACCTGTGCTGGTCCTCAGGTGTTTTCACGGCTCCTGTCAGCGGACTGTACGTCTTCAGCTTCACGGCTGCAGATTACCTGAAAGGCTACATGGGCCTGTACCTGTACAAGAACGACAAGCCGATCGTCTTCAGCCTCGACCTGAACGACCACGGCGGCTACGCCTCCACAAGCAACGCCGTGTGTCTGCAGCTAGAGGAGGGCGACCGGGTGCACCTCGGCCTGCCGGCCAGCTACCGCCTCTATGACGACTCGCGAAACTTCAGCGTGTTCTCCGGCTTCCTGCTGTTCCACCTGTGATGGCGACGTCCTGGGATGCACCCAGATTATCCAACCTTTGTACGGCAGAGCAAACAGGAAGTGGGATGAAAGAGGCCACGCCCTTAATAACGCAAACTTTACTCTTTACTCTTTAATATAACGTAAAGCGGAGGAAATGATCCTGTAAACAGGTTTAACGAGTCTCACTGCTGCTGTTTCTGCTCCAGTGATCATTTCATGGAAAAGTCTCAGGAGGAGCGTGATTTTAGCCCCGCCCCTGTGAATGTAGCAGTCAGTGAAATAACGTTCTCGTCTATCGATCAATAAAGTTTTAACAGACCTGCTGATTCTTGTTTGTTCTGCAGTAAAGTCGGAGATCACAGCGAGTCTGAAACTTTTATTAAACGTGACAAAAAAACATGAAAACGTTTCAAACTACAAATTTATCCCCACAAACACCCGAAGACATCAAAATGCACGACCGCGGTAAAAGCAGGGCCGGTCGGCGTGAGGCGAGGGGGCGGAGTCAGTAGTGTAACAGCTCATCATCACAATAAATACAAAGTCCTAGCATCAGATCACAAAGTGTGGTATTGCTCAGTCTAACGGCGATCAATAATCCGATCGCTCCTTCAGACTGACGGCCGCTGGGAAGTTCGAGGAACGAGAAACGTCTTTGATAAAAACGAATAAGATCATTGCATCAGTTTAAAAACAAAATGGCTTCAGATCCTTCCGGAGGGGGGCGGGGTTAGAGGGACGGGGCTCAGGTGCTGCTGTTGATCCTCCTGTGAACCGCCTGCAGGAGTAGCAGCGAGTACTCCTCCAGAAGCGCTGCTGTCTTCACCTCTCCCACACCTCCCAGCCCCCCCTCCGCTGTCAGCATGCCGAGCGGCAGGGCGTCAAGCTCCGCCTTCATCGCCTGGAAGGCCTCTGATAGGACGCGGGACATCTGGTGCTGGTCGAGGGCGGACTCATCTGAGGAGGAGCCACTCACCTGGAAGAAGAGGAGGAGAGGTGAATACTGCTGTGACCATCAAACATAGATGGTAAGGTGGGCGGAGTCTGTTACTCACTCTCCTGTACAGGTGCGTCGCTTTCTTAAAGCAGCTCTGCAGCTCATTGGTCAGAGCCCTGCAGCTCTCCACACTGATTGGCTCGTCTGCATAAAGAGAAAGCAGCAGGTGAGGTCACTCGAGCGTCGTTTTATTTATTTAAAAACAGACTGTAAACAATGATGCGATGAAAGCAGAGACGACAGAAACGTCTCACCCGTCACACAGGAGAGGAAGGGTGAGGAGGAGGAGGAGCCAAAGAGATGACAGGATGAAGGGATGAAGAGGAGGAGGGTTAGAGTCCAAACCTGCGTCGTCCATCTGCCCGGCGCCGCCGTCTGTAGGAGGCCCCGCTTCTTGTCGTGCGGGAGTCAGGGGGGAGACGGATACCGGAGGAGGCTGCGAGGAGGATGAGGACACCGTTGAGAAAGGGGGGAGGGAGGGTTTGTCAGGAAGCGGCCTGCTGCTACTGGAGACGCGAGCCTGGAGACAGCGGGTGGGTGGGGGCATCTGGTTACCATGGTTCCCCAGAAACGAGGAGCAAGACGAAGAGACGACAACTGGGACCACAGCTGCGTGAGGGGGCGTGGCCAGAGTAACAGAGGGAACCACGGCGACAACAGGAGGTGGAGTCTCTTTGATTTGAGATGAAGGAGTCGGTGATGTCACTGCCAGGTCGTCAGTGGGTTCGGGGACGTTAAGGCCATCGCCCATGGAGACAGAGCGGGACATCTTAGCCATGGAGCTGGCGGTGGGGCTCATGTAGGAGCGCGGCCCCGATGCAGTCAGGGAGGATGACGAAGACTTCCTCGGGGTGGTGGTGGCCAGAGCGGCAGCAGTTTCCTGTGATGGGGACCTCGGGGAGGCAGGGCTTGGTCTCTGAAGGGGAGGTGCCGTAGATGGGGGGCGTCTGGGGGTGCTGGGAAGGGTGACGGGACGCTCAGGGGGAAGGAGCAGCTGAGGGGGCACCTCCTCTCTGAAGGGACGAGAGATCATCTGGGAGATGGCGGAGTCACCTGATGATGAGAGAGACAGGAAGTGATGTAATTAGGTCCAACAAAACATGTAAACTCAGAGTAACACTGAGACCGTTTCCCCCCGTGGCCCTCCGTGTTTTTAATCTCCAGTGTGTGAACTGACTCTAACGAATAGTCGAGACCTTCTCTGATTGGTTCAACAGTCTGCGGAGTAGCTAACGAGTTGGAGTCACAACACAGAAACTCTGACATCACACAGCAAGCTAACGTTAGCTAACACTAGCCATAAGCCAGCCCGTTTAGAGTAAAAGATCCTGCAGACTGAAATGTTGCTGATATACAAATATTTCAAAACTTGAGTCGGAGGAAATAGTGTGAAACAAGCTGTGAGCCATCTTTGCAGTAACATCTTATCCTGAGAGCTGGAACTGGACACTTTCAAATTCATCAGGTAACGTCATGAACTGCCACCAAATTTATGCAGTGTGTTAAATTCTTGCCAGCTAACGTGAGCTGCTTGTTAACGCATAAAGCAGGGGCGTCAAACTCAATCGCACAGGGGGCCAAAACTCAAGGCCAACTTCAGGTCGCGGGCCAAAGAAGATAAACATTTATTGAACACTAAAACAATGTTTTTTAAACATAAATGTGAATAAAAACAGACAGGAATATTATTACAGATTAAATAAATTTAAAAAAATAAACTTTAACTTTAAATATTTTGCTCTTCATAAAAATATATCCTGTCAAAATTATGCAAGTTAGAAATATGAACATGCTGCCAAAACCCTAGAAAAAATAAATGAGAGCAAACACAAGGTTGGAGCCGCATGTAGACGGAGCTGGGCGTTGCTGCAGGAGTGGAGCTAATAAACTGTGTGGGCCATTCAGTGTCGTACTTTCCCTGAGTGCATCATTACACTGCAGCTGCATCTGAATCTGCACAGGTGCAGCTCAGCAAAGTGCGCTGACTTGGTTCAACATTACTGCAACAGGGAAAGTGAGGCAGGTTGCACTGGTGCATTTGTGACAGCTTCACTTTGTTATTTTGCTCTGGTGACAAACGTCTGCTGAAATGTCAGATTCTTCTTTAGCTCTTCTACTTCCTGTAGTTTCTGCGTTTAGGTTTTTCAGCTTATCCTGACGTCAAAGGAGCTTGGAAAGAAAAGCGTCTGGACTTCTTTGATTTGCTTGAAGACGTTTCACCTCTCATCCGAGAAGCTTCTTCAGTTCTAAGGTTCACAAGCGCATGGCACAACACAGAAGAGCCACCTCCACAGGACAAGACTCTGCAGTCCATCTGCATCTAAAGGTCAAAGGTCACTCTTTCGAGGATGCCAACGTTCACATTTTGGACAGAGAGGAAAGATGGTTTGAAAGAGGAGTGAAAGAAGCATCTATGTCCACTGTGAGCGACCATCTTTGAACAGAGGCGGGGGTTTACGACACCAACTCTCTGCCATCTATAATCCAGTTTTGAGTTCCCTCCCCAGACGCCTTAACGCCCACTCACATCCTGGGCCGTCTGACCTCAGGAAATCACATGATAGGGTGGGGCCAGGTTTCACAATGAACTCACCCGAAACTCTGGCTGATTGGGACCCACACCCAGTTTCACACCTTGGGTCAGGCGATTAGAGGATCATCAGGGGGTCCTTTTGTCCCTCTGTGGGGGGTTACTCCCACTAGGTTATATCTGGGACTCTCCACCATTTGACCTTAGAACTGAAGAAGCTTCTCGGATGAGAGGTGAAACGTCTTCAAGCAACTTAAAGAAGTCCAGACGCTTTTCTTTGCAAGCTCCTTTGACTACGATGACCTGGATGACTGAGAACCTTCACAGACAGCTTATCCTGATGTTTTGTCTCGTAGTGCCGTCTTAAATTAAATTCCTTCATTACAGCCACATTAGCTCCACTAATAAGACACACGGGTTTACCAGCCTGTCTGTAAACATATATTTAGCCTCCCACGGGCGCTGAAAGGCTCTGCTTTCAGAATCAACTTTTCTCTCCACCATTGTGAGCAGCGAGCTTCAGTAACAGAAGTTTGACTTGATTGACGCGGGAATGTTCCCAGTTAGCCTAGCCAAGGAGGCTGCAGCGCTGCATTATGGGATCTGTAGTTTGTATATTATTAGCGCCTCATATCGCCGGGCCATGCATAACAATAATAATAACTCTGTATAAAATGATCTCGCGGATGTGATGTGGCCCGCGGGCCTTGACTTTGACACATGTGGCATAAATGAAGTTAACAGAGCCACAGTGCTAACTTATATCAAACAGCGTTGGTTTTACTGGCTCAAATCAAAGACGTAACATTTAATTTCTACAGTCACAGCCAACGTGGGTGTGGTTAGCCTGCTAGCTTTAATTTAGCTTCTTTATGTCCAGGTGAGCGCTCATACTCAGGTGTACAGTGTATGCAGCTGCTTGGGGGTCCACAGTCTCTTTTGGTTCTTGTGCTGTTTACCTGTTTGTGTGGTGATCTGAGTGTTACCTGTGTCAGTCAGCAGGCTGTGGACTGACTGAGCCTTTCGAAGTCCAGCAGAGTTCAGATGGGAGGCAGCAGCCCGGGCTGTCGGTCCCTGGTTCCTCCTGCACTCCACTGCAGTTTGGGCCTTCTTCTTGAGCGGGGAGGGTCGGTGGACCTGCTGGGTCGAGGGGGTCTCCTCCTCTAGGATGCGGAGCTGGTTTGAACCATGGGGAGGCTGGGCTTGGTCCTGAAATGAGGTGGCCTGAGCCTGGTTCTGTTTTTGGGTTTGGTCCTGGGTCCACGGCACCTTCCCGTCCTGCCTCTGGCTCTCTTCCATCAGAGGTCGGACCTCGGAGACCAGCGGACGAGTCTTTGGCTCCCCCGCACCAGCCCCCGAGGTCCGAGATGGGAGAGGAAGCACGGTCCGGCTGAGAGAGCGAGAGAAAAAAGGTCTGAGTGATCTACCACACGTGTGCGTGGAGACCCCACAGAGTCAGTGTTCAGGCCACACTGTGTCTACAACAAGTATTCTCCTGTCCCATAGCTGAGCTGCACGTCTGCATTCAGGAAGCTGTTATCGTTTTTCAATAAAGTTTGGTTTAAATGGACCTGTGTGTGTGTGTAATTATTGACCTGTGTGTGACGGTAATCCTACCTTGTGGCTGTGCTTTGGGTGAGGAACCTGGACGAGATGCTCAGACTCTCACTGGAGCTGTGAGACGCTCTGCTCGGACTTCCTGTCAACACACAGGTCACATGTTCAGGTGTAGGTGAGTCTGCTGTGATTCAAATCCTGTCGCTTAGGACTGGGAGGAAAAATGCTGAAATCA